GTTCAGCATCTTAGCTGTGGAGGGCAGTGTCACTGACCCTCATATGTGGGATCCAAACCGGGGCCCTCTGGCGTCCCAAGCCAGTTCTTAACCATTGCGCCACTCGGCCAGTCCCCCTCATGGCCTTATTTTAATCAACAAGTTTAACTTGTCTCTGTCCCACTTTTATAGCCATTTCCCCAAACAGGAACAATACAAACTAGCTTGTGTTTCACCGCTTTTATTAATCTCAACTCACCCTCACGTGCCTGTAGTGGAATGCAAGAGTGAGAAGGCTGAGAAATAGGGAGGTGAAATAATACAAAGTTCGGATCATAAATGTCCGAGTATAAAAGATTTTGAAGCTCCTGTGAAGGGAAGAGTCTACCAGGTTTTTTTTCATAGTTCAGGTCAGAGATGGTTCTGTGGTTATGAAACTGGCCTCATAGGGATTTTTCACCAGCTTGGCACAGCGGAAAATCATCACTATGAGGAAAAGAAACAGAAGAGCAACAAAGGCGATGGCAAAACACTCGTCTACATTGACGGTGGTGGGCAGGCTTGAGTCATCCATGGGAACACACACCTCTTCACTCTGTCCAGCTGTAGCTACCTCCTCAGGTGTCTCTTCAGATTTGTCATATTACTAGACAAAACAGGATAAAACAAGTTTATTGGTTTGTATGTATACGTATATGTATGTATTTTCTTTTTTTTAATTTTTATTGGGGAACAGTGTGGTTTTCCAGGACCCATCAACTCCAAGACAAGTAGTTGTTTCCGTCTAGTTGCGGAGGGCGCAACTCAGTGGCCCATGTGGGGATCGAACCGCCAGCCTTCGTGTTATGAGCACTGCGCTCTAACCAGCTGAGCTAACTGGCTGCCCCTGTGTATATTTTCTTTTTAAAAAAAATTTATTGGGGGAATTGGGTGAGGGGAACAGACAAGTTCCTGTTCTTTTTGTTCTTCAGTTTAGTTGTGGAGGACGTCATTTCACTGGCCCATGTTGGTATTATCATTATGCTCTTCCCGAATGAGGCAGTTGCTCACCTGCCATTGGACGGCCGCTCACGGCAGCTCTCTGCTGCTCACACAGCTCACGAAAGCGCACACCAGCTGCTGGCCAGCCCCACTGCAGTCTACGCCATCGCTGGCCACTCACAGCAGCCCAGCTTCAGGTTGAGGTATTGTTCACCATCTTAGCTGTAGAGGGTGCAGCGTCACTGGCCCTCAAGTGGAATCCAAACCCGGGCCCTGCTGCTCAGAGCTGGCATCCCAAGACAACTCTTAACCAACACACCACCCGGTCAGCCCCATTTTTTTTTTTTTTTAGCCGAGCCATCCTGCCACCTGTTGGCAGGTCAGCGGCAGCTCAGCTTGGGCCAGGAATCGAACCGGTATATTTTCTTAATAACACTATGTGGAAACCAAAGTGGCTTTGCCAAAAAACAAACAAACAAGCAAACAAACAAAAAGCAAACAACAAGATTTATGTAAGGAGCACTTATGAAACTGATAAAGTTAGTACAGGTGACTTTCAAGATATACACACACATAAAAGCACTAAATATCTAGAGACTTATTCCATGGCAAAACATGAACAAATATGTATAACTCAGAAATCAAATGGGGCTTCCTTGCCCTAGAAGATCCTGGGAAAGCTGTCTTGAACACCCCAATTCTGTGTTAAGTCCAAATTTTTCTCTAAGAGTTTTTAAAAATTTTTAAAGTATGTATTGTTAACTAATTTGTTGTGGAGTCTTAACATACTGCATATGAACATAAAATTGTTTTGTTTTTTTATAAACACCATGTTTAGCTATGCTGTCATTCCCATCTCTTAATGAAAAATCAGGTATATCCCAGAAGTGATCAATTTCAGTTATTAAAAATGAGTCCACTAAAATAATATTGAAAAGAATAAAGTCAGAGAACTCCCACATTCCTATCTCAAAATTCACTAAAAGCTACAGTTAAGTTATTAAATAGAGTGGTACTGGCATAAGGATGACATAAAGATCAATGGACTAGAATTGGTAGTTCAGAAATAAACTCATATCTATTGTCAACTGTTTTTTGACTAGAGTGCCAACACCATTCAAAGAAAAACAAAACAAAACAGAAAAAACAAATGGCGCTGACACAACTGGAGATTCATATGCAAAAGAATAAAGTTGGACCCTTACTTCACATCATACGTATATATAAAAATTAACTCAGAATAGATCAAAGACCTAAGTGTAAGAGCTAAAACTATAAAACCTTTAGAAGAAATACAAAGGAATAAATCTTCGAAACCTTGGATTTGGCAAAGGATTTTTAGATATGACATCAAAAGCACACGCAACAAAAAAGATAGATAAATTGGACTTCATCAACTTAAAACTTTTGTGCTTCAAAGGACACTATCAAGAAAGTGAAAAGAGGGCCGGCTGAGTGGCGCGTTGGTTAAGAGCTGGCTTGGAAAGCCAGAGGGCCCTGGTTCGGATCCCACATATGAGGGCCAGTGAGTGACATTGCACAGCTAAAATGCTGAACAACAGCTCAACCTGGAACTGGGCTGCCGTGAGTCACCGGCGACGGCATAGGCGGCAGCCCCTGCTGCAGTGGGTTGCCATGGGCTACTGTGTGTGTAGCCAGCAGCCAGTATGAGCGGCCAGCAGAGAGCGGCCATCCAGAAGCTGGCGACTGATCTGCTTCGCTGGGGAAGAGCGCAATGATATTGCCAACTTGGGCCACCAACTTGGGCCAGTGAAGCAACGTCCTCCACAATTAGACTGAAGAACAAAAGGACAGCAACTTGTCTGTTCCCATCCCCCAATTCCCCCAATTAAAAAAATCTTTAAAAAAAAAGAAAGTGAAAAGACAACTCAGAATGGGAGAAAATTTTTTTGCAAATAATAAACCTGATAAGGGATATTTATCTTGATTTCTTACAACTAAGTAGTGAGACCACCCAATTAAAAATTGGGCAAAGGATCTAAATAGACCTTTCTCTAAGACAAGATATACAAATGGCCAATAAACACAAGAAAAGATGCCCAACATCCTTAGTCATGAGAAGTTACTAATCAACGGGCAGAAAGTTTCAGTCAAGCAAGGTGAATACATTCTAGAAATTTGCTATACTTTTATACTTTGTACCTCTGGTCAATGGTAACATATGGTACACTTAAAAATTTAAGAGGGTAGATCCCATGTTGAGTGTTCTTACCATAGTAAGATAAAATTTTTAAACAAGAAAGGCAGAAAAGAGGGGTTGAAGCAACCTGTGGCGACAGAAAAAGGGAGAGTTGAGATTAAATTGATCAAAGAAGATTTTTTTTCCCTTGAGTGCCAGATATGGACCCACAGATAGGGACCAGCCTGGGGGTTATATAAAAGAGGATCTAGGGCCAGCTGAGTGGCCCAGTTGGTTAAGAGCACAAGCTCTGAGCAACAGGGTCGCTGGTTCGAGTCCCACATGGGCCAGTGAGCTGTACCCGAGCTGAGCTGCCACTGAGCTGCCAACAGGTGGCAGGACAGCTCAGCTGGTGAAAGCATGTGCCCCTAACAACAAGGTTGCTGGTTCTACTCCATTACGGGATGGTGGGCTACGCCCACCCGCAAGTAAGATTGAACATGCACCTTGAGCTGAATGGCCATGGGTTGCTGACAGGCGGCCAGATGGTAACTGGACCTGGAGCTGAGCTAGCTGCACCCTCCACAACTAAGACTGAAGGACAACAACTTGGCTGTTCCCCTTCCCCAATTCCCCAACACTGTTCCCCTTCCCCAATTCCCCAATAAAATCTTTAAAAAAAAAAAAAAAGAGGATCTAGGCCAAGAGAACTTCCTGCTAGGTTGAATGAAGTTACCTTAACAGAAAACAGCTGGACATGAACTTGGATTCAGCATTATAAAGACCAGCCAGAGAAGGGACATTGTCTCTAAGGGATCCGAAGTTAGATAACACCAGCCAGGAAATTTCTGAGGAAACTATGAAAAGCACATCATGAGAGTAAGAGCGCTGAGCATCAGTTAAGCCTAGGGAGAAAAAAATGCCAATAGATTTGTTCTGAAAAATGGTTTAATGGGACGTATGTGCCTTATCTTTTGTACAGTGCTCTTTCAGAGCAGGTCGTATGCATTATTGTGGCCCACGTTTCATTGGCTTCTCACTCCCTCCATCTATTAATATCCTTTTGGGCCTATTTCCAAAATCTCTCCCAAATCAATTTCCTTTACTTTATCCCATGGCCAACACTGTACTCGAGGCCGTCCAATGCCAGACTCCTGCAACCGCTTTACAATTTCCTGAAAACATTCTGATGACTTTCCAAACCACAAAGCGATCTTTAATAAACATAAATCGATCAGTCCTGTTAACTGATCAATAAAAGGCAAAAGTGAGAGGCAACAAGTGTTTGAGATTCAAAAGAATGGCTACTCTGACTCAGGCAGAAACCCAAAAAGTGTTCTGATGAAGAGGTGAAGGCAAGAGGTTTGTATGAGAAAAGGGAATAATGACATGATTAGAAGGAAGGGACTTCTATTGGTGTTAATAAGTCAAGAAAGGAATTTCTATAGGTGCTGATAAGCTACATTATTCTTTAGCTATAAATGGTGGTGCTAATTCTAAAGAATGTGTTTAATTTGCAGTCCAGTAGTCAGAATGTCTGCTTTTCTGTTAGCTTTGCAAATAGTTGTGTGGAATACAATGTTGGTTTGGCTCAGTCCAAAGGTTAGTTTAGGCAGTTTAAACATTTCAAAGATTTGAGGAGTAAGACATGCAAGGCAATTCCTGTGGGCTGGCAGCTCTGACTCCATTTTGAAGTGGCTTTGTTTACATTATTTTTCACAGTTCTTTGATTAAAATCCTTCGGCAGCTTCCCACTGTCTTCAAACTTCTTAAACGGGATGTCAAGCCTCTCCACAATTTGGTCTGCCTTATTTATTGCCACTCTCTCCCATGTACCTTTTGACCCAGCAATGCTAGACTTCTTTCTCATGCTTCCATGAGTTTTGAATGATCCGCCTTTGCCTCCAATCCTTTTCCACTAACATGCTCTGTACATTATTCCCCTCCTATATTCAACTTTTAGTTTAAATGTCAATTTCCCAGGGAGATATTGTAGTAACATTCACTATCATTTATTATAATTACTTCAGTGTCTGTCTTTGATAAAATAATAATCCTACATGAGAGTAGAGACCATATCTAATATGTTGGGGGTTTTTTATCCTAAAAGTCTAGGATATATTAGAGGTTCAATAAATATCTGTTCAGTGAATGAATGTAGCACTCCACTTTGCTGAAGTTGGCAGGTAAAAAAGTTGAATGAATGAATGAATGAATGAATACGTTGGAGAATGTGGCACTGAATTAAGATAGAAGAAGACTATTGGTGATCTAAAAGAAAACAGTGTCAGCAAAGTGGTAAAGAAGGAATCCAAATGTTAGTGGGTTAAGCAGGAAAGAGTGGTGAGGACATGAAGACATTAAAACTTTAAATTATTTATAGGAGTTCAACTAGAAAAGAAAGAAGTAGAAGAGCAGCTAAATGCTTATTGCAGTCAAGTGAGGGATTCCTTTTCAGAGGCAGAATAGAATGGTGTCAGGTTGGATGCGTTTGGTTGCAAGTGACAGAAAAGTCCACTTAAGTG